TTGTATTACGCAGATTACATAAAAATTTAAACGTGATTTATAGCTCCGGACTTAACAACGGTTCCCGTTTCCCTAGTTTATATACTGCTTTGTTAAGACGATGAATTCTTTGAATTCTTTTTTTCTATACCCACAATGTAATAATTATATATTTTTAATTAAACAAAAATAATTATTATTAAATATAAAATTAGTTTTTTGATTATATAATTAAATCCCAATAGCAATTAAAAAAAAAGTTTAAAAAGCCTAAAGTTCAATCGAAATTCAAAATAGTGTTGCCATCTTATAAAATTCCAATACTAATACTCAAATTATTGAATTTATCGAAATTAAAAAATACTTAAATACTTTTAATATCAAATAATTTTACTTTAACAATAATCAAAATTTGACTGAAATGAATATCAAGACCTGATTCGTATTTATTCTACAACCAAAACAGCATGTGAAGGAGGTACGTGTGAACCACATAAATTAAATAGATAAAAGTAATTTCTTTTTTTTCTAAAGATATATTAATTGAATATTTCGATTACTTTTTTTCAATATCTTTTAATAAGAGAACTTGTTACAAATGTCGCAAATGTAAAAGAAAGAGAATTTCCGATAGGTCGAATATAAATATAAGGCTAGAAATGATATCAAGACAAATTATTATTGATTCATGAAGTTTCTAAAAAAAAGATTAGGTATCAATTCATAGAACATTACTTCCTATTGATCCTTCGTTATTTTCAAGGGTCACGACATCATAATATAGATAATTCTTTAACTATTGATATTTACCAATATATACACCCATGTCTGTTTCTCAATAAATCATTGATTGCTTGAATATTAAAAACTCGTGAAAGGTCGAACCTTCTAACAATAAGAATTTTGGATGTGGAGTGTTGTGATGGAAAGATTTTAACGAAACCTCCTCCTAAAAATCACCCGATATTTTCCTTCAAAACCATGTTTTCCTCGTATAACCAAAATAATATACATACAGTGGCTGATTTTATTGGTCTCAATCTTGCATCTCAACCAATGATAATCGTTGCATGCTTTTTTTAAAGTCCGAATTTATATTTGAGAGTTTTCTTATTACAATAAATAAGTTAGTATTTCCTTTCAAAATAAAAAAATTTTCAATTATTTCGGAATTCCTTTTTTTTTTTTTCTTTTCTTTTTTATTTAAATAAAAAAAGACAAATAAAAAAGATGGAGTTAGTGAGAAAGATATCGAGTCCAAATGAAACAGTAGCTTCTCCACTTGATATTGGGAGTATCAATTACCGAGGGTACGTAAAAGTACCTGATCAAAGCCCAGAATATTTATCACCCGCCAACGCTACCTTAATTGACCAAGTGGTCTCGGTACAAACCAGTGAGTCATCATTTTTTTACCCTTTCAAAATCAATTTTCCATAATCGTTCACCTTTCTTTGACGTCCGATAAATCATAGTTCAGGCGCACGTCAATTTATTGATTAGATTTACGAAACGATTGGAACAAAATGATTCAACCCTTTTATTAGGATATTTATTAAGAGCGGAACAAAGATATATTTTATGGTTAAATTTATTAGACGAATTAAAACCGAAACCCGAATCAATTCCGATCCCACCATTAGATGTGTCGGTATTTTGGAGTGCGCACATGACGAATCCGTCAACGTATCAAGAGGATTTGATCCGGATGTATGGTGAACATATGATGTCATATGATTTCCCTTTGATTCGAATGGATTCTGAGATTGATACGGAATCCGTAACGATTTGGCAAGAATATTCCAAAGAACCTTACCTGTTGGAATATAAAGATGACAGACCTTTCTTAATTCGATGTCCATTTTGTATGAAAGACAATTTGATCGAGCAAGAAAAGTTCATACAATTAAAGATGAAACTAGGGAATCATCAATGTTCACGATGTGAAATCAAATTAGATTCTGATATCTTATCATCAAAGAGGATGTTAAATGATATTGAGAACTATTTAAAAGATGAGAGGAAATGTCTGGCGGGAACATTATTAAACGATCGTACCAATAAAGTAGATTACAGACACGCAAAGGAGGAGAATCGATTATTATTTGATCAAGATATCATAAGGGAGATAATCCGATTGAGTTCCACCACGTATACCGGAAAACCGTCCCCACCATCATTATACATACCAAATATTCAAGATAATTGTAATTGGAAGGTGATACGGGAAGAGATTATTCGAGTGCTTTACAAATTAGATTCACAATCGGAATTAAGTTCTCTAAGAAAGGACATCCATGATAGGGTGATTTCATCATATGAACATTTAATTACTCCATTTTCATTGGACTTGATCGGAACGGTTTTAAGGTATAAAGATGCGGTTTGTAAAATTTTAATGAACGGGGAAGATTGGGATGAAGAGGATGTCTTGAATAGGTCAACCACAAGGTATCAAAAATTCCTGTCATTAAAACGAAAACATCCAGATAAGGGTTTAATACCCACGGTGGACATATTAAATTGTTGGTTCATTCACATGTTACACCCGATTCAATATCAAACATTCACATTAAGTTTGGTGGGTAAAATATTAAATCATGAAGGACCATTAGATGAAAAGAAAATGGTGGAGAAATTTGCCAAAACATGTTTACTGTGGTATAAGAATTATAATGAACCATATTCTTCCGATAATCCTTCCAAAGAATGGAAAAAACGTAAATCTCGGATTGTGATGTCCGTAGTGTTTCCCGTATATGGTCTGTTTGTGGCTCAAAAATTATGGAAACTTTCTAAAACTCATGATAAAAAAATGGGAAATGGCTCGACCATTTAAATGATACAATCAAATTTATTTCTTAAATAGTATATCAAGGAAATGATTCTAGACTACTGATTATCCAACCCAAAAACGGAAGATCATAAAGATAATCAATGCTACAATGTTTCTGGATACCTTCGTTAAAAACTTTATACAAATGTGACTTTTATTATGCATGATCATCAATAAACAATATTTCCGTCCAACAAAAAAAAAAAAAAACTTTAAAAAAAAATTTTTTGATGGAAAAAAAAAAAAAAAAAAAAAAAAAAAAAAATAGAAACCAAATAAATTTTTTTTTTTTTTAAGGAAAAAGGAAAAAATCATTTTAAAAATGGCTACTAAACCTACCGAAAAAGAATTATCTGATGTTACATTAGCCGTGCAAAAATTGTGGGACTTGGATACTAATAGATTAACACCAGGTGTTGATGTAGGTGTATGATATAAAAATAATAATCGCCAAAGAAATATAAATTACCGTTTTTAATCTTAAATTTAATTAATGACCTTTCGTAGTATGATCTTAACTTGCCATTGGCACTTCGTAGAGGTAAAATATATCATAACCATTAAACACTTTCATGAATTAAACCCGTCATGTGTTAATATTTTGATATTTAAAAAATTACCTATTTTTAGGAGATAACACGCGAGATCATTTATTTAAATTTGTATCCAATAAACCTAGCAAAATGCCGACATTTCAATTATTTTATCATTTGCTTGATAATTACATTCCAGAAACCGGTATACCGGAAGAAGTCGATACTCACGAATTAAGTGAAAATCAGGCTTTCCTTAAGGCATGTTTACAAACTGCTCCAATGATTTACACTTTAAATTATTTGAAAGCAAAAGGACTATTTCAGGGAACTGAAGCTGCATTTGAAAAGGCACTTGATAAGATATGGTTTAAACTTTATAGAAGAGAAGGTGTTGGTAAAGATTCCTCCGCTTTTGAGCACGTTTTTGTTGGTGAGGTTAGAAACGGGGAAGCAAAAGGTAGGTCGTAAAATCATTTCTTGTCGATTGATTTGCCGATTTAATTTAACCTCTTGTTATTTACAGCGTTTCATAATTGGATTACGCTTTACTTTTATGAGAAAACCGGTAAAATTGATTATGAAGGTTTCGTTCCAAGCAGGGGAAGAAATGAAAAGGTTGGTACCTTCACCTTAATTTTATTTTCCCACCTGTTAAATTCCTTCTAACATTTCTTGCTTTACAAGCCCGATCCAACTGCTCATATAATTCCCATAAGATTTACGTTTAAAGGAGCCCTTAAACCTTTCTCCACTTCATTCATCGGCACCTCTCCAGAATTCGAGTTGGCAATGTATACCATGTTATTTTATCTTGGAAGACAAGATACCAAAGCGAGATTAGATGATATCAATTTAAACATTAAGATTTATCCTTTTTTTGAAAAAGATGGTGATGGTACCAAATTAATAGGTTCCGCTTTTCCCGAGATCGTTTAACATGCTTGCTGCGGTTATATAAACCTGTTATAAAATAATTATAAATAAACCTAATTTATTTTTAAAAAAATTAAATACCCAGGAATGGAAATTAATCTTTTAATAGTATTTTCCCACATTCTACAAAGGTTCAAACTAATTTAAAAGATTCGTCGGAATTACATATGTATATATATGTATATAAATAAAAGATATTTCGCATGTGAAATCATATTTTTTTGTCGTTGATTATTTTAATACGTAATGAGGTAAATAATGTATGCATAAGATTTTCACGTGTTTCAAATTACAAATAAAGAAAAACTTAAGCTATTCTCCATCCGGAACTATAAGCTAAGATAAAAATGACTAATAAAATACTATATTCAACGAAACCAAAAATAAATCTAATGATCTTGTTATCCATGGCCATTTCAACAAGTAACCAAATAATTGCTAATCCTACAAAAATCCATGTCAATATTTCGACAGCTCGCCCTGATCCTGTTCCTGCTCCACGCCCGAGTGTGTTGATAACCAGGGCTGTTAGTAACCCCAATAAAAGGTCACGAGATATTCTTGCCGCTCGTCGTGGCCCATTATCCTGATAATTAGGAAAATAAAATAAAAGGTATCGAGTTAACGAACGAATTTATTATATTGTAAAATTGATATTTTTTTTTTTTAACGCTTACCATAATTTCGGCAAATCCTCCTTTCTTGGCGTTAGCCCCTCTATCTCTTTCAAGGGATGCATCTGGCCTTTCAGTTGTATGAGCATTCCTGGTCTTCGTCTCTCTTGAAACCAATTTAAGAAGTCTAATTGATTTGCATGAAAAAAATTTAATTTGATGTCATCATAAACAAATTAAACTTTTTCTTTATACGTACGTTAAAAGTGCCCATAAAATCCAAAGAACCCAAAGACCTATCCATGCAGAACGAATGGGCCTTGTCAAAAAAAAATTTGGAATTCCATCGCCAGGTATGTTAGTAACTTGAGCAGAAATAGGAAGAATGTCATTAAAAATTTTCACGGCTACTAAAAGAGACGCGACTTGTATTGAAGATGTGACAAACATATTATTTTTTAATTAATTAAAAAAGAAGAAAAAATTAGGTATCTGAAATTTTTTTAAAAAATAAACTCTTTTTATTAAAAAAAAAAAAAAAAAAAAAAAAAACTTCCCATTACAAGTACTTTAGTCATAGTTAGATCGATTACCAAAATTATAATATATTTTATCATATTTACGTCTTCTGTCCCTCCCCCCAAAAAAAATTTGGAGTATTATTTCACTCTTAATTTATTAGATAAGTCAAAACGGGAAGAACGTATATGTGACGACGTATCATCGGGTTACATTAGCTACGTATAACTTATGCAGGGACGATGAAAATTAATTATAATGTGAAAAAACATAAATTATTTCCGTGATTGCTAAAGAAAATTTCTTATTTACACTTGCGTGATGTTTGGTTAATTTATAAATTAGGTTCAATTTATCACATCGCATCACCTATGCTATGTTTCGTTTTTACTAAATAATCTGAAAACTTGAAAATTTTTATGTACTAAAATGTCATCCGTATGTTTCATATAATGGTTCTATACAGTATATAGAGTGATATTCAATATTGTAAAAATTCATTGTTTAATTACAATAATTTCATTTGTATTATATTAACAAATATTTTTTGTAAAACATCTAAATTTGGGATTAATACTAAACATGTATTAACTGAGCTGGATAGTAAATATATAAAGTAAATTTGCTATAAATCACTTGAAATTGATTTATATTAATCAAAATTGAATAATTAAATTTTTCAAGAAATAATCAAAATCATTTGTTTTTATACATTTTAAAATAAGCAACAAGACATTAAAGTTACAATTTAACAAAAGAAAAAACAAGTTTTGTAATTGTAAAAAAAAAAAAAATAAAACCTTAAATAAATTCATTAGTATAAAATAAAATGAAATTAAAATAATTTATAATAGTAACTTCTAAGAATTAATTATTATCAAAATATTATATATTATTAAATTTTTCATTAAAAAAAAAAAGTTTATAATCTAAACATAAAATATTATCTAAAATCTAAAATCAAGAATTTTAACATATTTGATTATATAAAAGAATTTGAAAAATTATGCATTTTTTTTTAATAAATTAAATATTAATTCCTTTAGATAAAAAAAAATTTTAAAATAAATGAATAATATTACCTTAAAATTATATTTATAAGATTTTTAAAATTGAAGTTTTTTTTACTTAAATTTAATATACTAATATCCAATAATAAATAAATGAAAATAATCAAAAATTTCAAAAATATATTTAATAAAATTAATTAAATATATAAAATATAACATATAAATTAATTAAAATATAATAATATTTTATTTAAGTAGCTAATTCTAAAAAAACTAAATAAAGTAAATTAAATGATATTAAAAATAAAGAATAATTATTCTATTATAATATTATTTACACCTTTAAAAAATTAACTAAAACTAATTTATTTTATTATAATAAAAAAAATATTAATAATTCTCTATACAGTATATAAAATTTAGACCAAAAGTCATATACACAAGTTATACTAAAAATAGAAAATTAATGTATGTATTACATAGTATTTCCATTTTTATAAATAATTTTAAAACTCTTTCTCCCTTTTTGGAAAAATGCCCAAAAAAACAGAAAGAAAGAACACCAACCGCGGCCGTTCGGCGTCGCCTATATCTGATAAATTACCAA